CGGGGGCTAGAGGTCCAGGATTTAGTCCGGCTAAGATGGGACACCTGGGTTATCAAAAAAAAAAAAAAAAAAAAGAACAAAGTTTATTACTATTCATAAGGCATCATTCTTGTGTCATGCTCAAGTCATTTTATCCTTTTTCCTTTTTCCCCTCAACCATGGCAACTTTTTTTTCTGACAGTTATTCACCATTTTTGCACACAATCTCCCATTCCTTTTTGGAAAAAGCCTAGTGTTTTACATGGCCCCTCACTGTGTAAGGGCCCCACGTGTATTAAAAAAAATTATTACGTGGGTCCCACGTATTGTGTATGCCCTGGCAGGTCCTTGTGAATTAAGCCTAGCAGGGCTCTTCCTTTTTACTTGTTCCATTATCCATCTGAGCCTTGCTTCACGTACAGAGGAAACATTTCATACATTTTTCAGAATAGACACAAACCCTTGGGGGTGGGATTTTTTGGAGGTATTTTTTTAATAAAGGGGACCCACCTCATGTGAGTAGAACACCTATGAAATGGAGTTCTGTACATATGGCAAAAGTCTATACATTTTGTCTCTCAATTATACATCACACACATACCTATTTACTTACTTTGTTTCTCCATTTTCCCTCCCGTTATACATCACAAGCTTCTTTTGCTCTCTTCATTAGCAAATTTGGGAATGGAATTTAGAGGTGGAAAAAGAAGATGAAGAGGGTAAGGTTTTATTTTGTTTTGATGTTAGGATCTCGTTTATTGGTTCTTTTTCGAAGGGAAATGAAGATCTTTGTAAGCGTTTCGATTCTTTCTACACAAGTCGTTGGAGCTGTTAATATTTCTTTGAGTCTTCTTTTGGTTCTACACAAGTCATTGGAGCTGTAAATCTTTCTTTGAGTCTTCTTTTGGTTCAACAAAACATTGTTTTACAAGTTCTCAGTAAATGAAAGATTTTTTAAAGAGAAAAACAGAGCCGAACTTTTTTAATATACTTTACTAGTTTTTTTTAGTTTTGAATTTTGCAGGTTCAGTGGTATGAAATGAAAATTATATTTTTAGTTGTTGACAGAATTAATATTTTTTTAATTATTTTTGGGAAGATTGTAAATAGATTTTTTTGGTAGAATATTTTGATGTTGAAGGCAGAAAAGAAGGAAACTTGTATTGTCTTCGAATTGAAATAACTAAGAATTCTTTAGGCAATCGATTGCTCCTTTTGACTATAGAATTAGCCATGATTATAACTGCTATTATGTTTGATGTTGTTGGGGAACTCGAACATAACGATTTGTGAAAGCTATTTTTGAGTTTGTAGAATATTTTGTACTATAGTGAGTAAAAGGATTTGTGCTTTGTATACAATTGGTTGAATTTAAAAGTTTCGTTACTGTTCATTTTTTGGAATTGCGATAGATGTTCCCCCTACAGAGCAATTTGTTTGTGGGTTTGGTGTTTTTGTTAATAATTCAAGGTTTTGAATTAGGTTTTTCGATTTGTCATTTTGAGTTTTTGGAATTGATTGAAATTGTGGTTATACGGAATTGCTGAGGAAAATGGGAGGATGGTTCTGCAGTATTTAGGATTGGATAGAAAGAAAAGCTCTGTTGGATTTGACGTAGGCAAAAATTGGATTTTCCTACTAAAACTTTTGAAGAGAATATGAGTTTTTGCTCTATTATTTCATTTAATTTAAAATTTTGAGATTCAAAGTTTTCTATTAAATAAAAGTAATAGGATTATTATTTAGTTTATATTGATTATCTTTAATGTTTCAACATAGGGGTTGAAGATAAATCTGATTATGATAGACTATTCAATGCCATGGATAACGAGATATGAACTATGCAAAAAGATCAATGTTAGTGACTTTGGTATTGTTAATTGAAAAAGGAGGGTTTTAGATTTTCCAGTAACCTTAATGCTTATCATGATTTTTAGCTAAGCAATTGACGTTGTTGAAAAATGGGTGAAGTGAGAGGAATTGCTTCACTTTGCAGAAGGAGCCATGACTGAGTTAAAAGTCAATGCTTACATTCGGAGGTACTTATAAATATCCAATTTTCTTCTACTTTTTCTGCATCGCATACCCTTGAGCTATGTGACAGATTTGTCTAATTTTAATTTAGGGACATTATCATGTTGTGGATCCATAAGTTAATTGAAATATTTGTTATATTACTCATTTTCCTCGAATGGAAGCTTTTTTCCTCTCAAAATGAATTTACCTTAGGTTTAACATAATGAGGTCATTCCAAGTACAACCTTACCATTTTTCTCAGAATTATGTTGCATTTTGTGACATTGATACGTTTAACAATTAACTTTTTGATATCCAAGATGACTTTATTCAGTGAATGTTGATATTCGCAAATGATGAGTGTATTATATTTTTTCATGAGTTTTAGGAAGCCATTTTTGACATCAAACTTACAAATAAAATATCATTTTACTCCATGTAATTAAAGGGGTTATTATGTTATAGAATTCTTTTAAGTAGATCATATATTTCTACGAGTTTTGTAAATGGTATTAAATGGAATCAATATATATTTCATGCTCATGGAATTTATGATTCTTGTTATTAGATGAATGTCTATTCTATGTGTTGAGAAATATTACTACTTGATTTTCTCTACAAAGTATTTGACTAACAAATGCAAGGATGTGTTCCAAATATAAAGGCATCACCCTCCCCATTAATACCAATTGATAGGTCTATAAGTTTTGTACTTGTCAGGGGACAAAAACAATAAGTTATGTGATTACGCCCAAAGTATAACGCGGTGATTGTAGTACAGTTTTGGGGTGTCGTATCCACAGGGAGATGGAATTTTTCTCAAAAAAATCAAACAAACTAGGGTTTTCGTAATTTTATATGGGAATGATTTGTCACTTGGAATAAAAATTAATTATCAATATGCGACATAAGTGAAGCGTCGGAATTCCCCCAATGGATTGGATCAATCAACATCAATAATTCTTGTATTTTTCCTCAATTAGAGATTTTCTTCCCAACTCTCTAATCGGAAGATTTAACAATAAAGTCCAATTTAATTCCAATTATATTGCTAGAATCTAGATTTTCTATAACACATTCGCACATTTTTTTATTGGAACAAGACAAAGATCGACCATATACATCAAGCATAAGGCAGTAATCAATTCGCCAATAAAGTAATATTAAGATTAAAATTCAACAATTATTTCAATCATTCGATAGAAGGAACATGACTAGATCTATGAAGGATTTGATAAAAGTTAAAATAATCTCAACAATAAATAATTCAAATTGTAATTCAACAAGTATTTCGAATATTCGATAGAGAAAGCATGACCGAATCTATGGAAATTCTAATAATTGCTAAACTAATGTCAAAAATATATTCAAGATATGGAAATTCGATTCTAAAATTGTTTAATAATGAAAAACTCAATTACATGAATTAAAGATGTCGAAATCACCAAAATCGATTGAGATCCTTCGTTGCTTCACCAAGTTCCTTAATTTTCTACGGAGTTTCTTGAGCACCAAGATGAAAGAAATAGGTCTGGGGACGTCTGCCTTCGTCCTGGGTGGTTTTGGGCATTTATATCCCGTGAAAATTAGGTTACCATAAGAGATTCAATCGTATAAGGAAACTGAGATTCGCCGCCCAAAAAATACTATGCGACCGCATGGTTATTGTCATTGCGGTCGCATGGTTATGCATTTTCAGCCTCTCCAATTCTCGGTATAGGTGTATGCGACCGCATAGTAGAAAGGCATGTGACCGCATGGTTCCGCCAGACAACTTTCAGTGTTTTAATCATAACTTTCTTTCCCGATGTCCAATTGAGGTGATTCAAGTTGCATTGGATAGCTAATGTGAGCAAATTAGAGGTGGGTCTCATGCAATGTTTTTATCATGAAAAGCTTTCATTTTTTCCTTGTAGATTCTAGAACTCTCATAGGCCTCATTTCTCAACTCCTCTAACTCAGCGAATTGAAATTTCCTAAGCTTACCTCCCTCCTCTAGGTCGAAATTAAAATGTTTAATAGCCCAATATGCTCGGTGTTCAAGCTCCACAAGTAAATGGCAAGGCTTTCCAAAAATAAGTTTATATGGTGACATGCCTAGGGAAGTCTTAAAAGCAGTACGGTAAGTCCAAAGTGCATCACTTAATCTTAAAGACCAATCTTTACGATTAGAATTCACCGTTTTTTCCAAAATTTGTTTAATTTCCCTATTAGCCAATTCTACCTGTCCACTAGTTTGGGGGTGGTAAGTAGTAGAGATTTTATGAATAACTCCATATTTTTTCATTAGTGCTTCGAATGAACGGTTCCAAAAGTGTGTGCCTCTGTCCCTAATAATGACACGTGGTGTACCAAACCTAGACAAGACATTTTCTTTGAGGAATTTAATAACCATTTTATTGTCATTAGCTCTACAAGCGAACGCCTCTACCCATTTAGACACATAATCCACCACCACAATAATGTATAGATAACCAAAAGAAGGTGGAAAGGGGCCCATAAAGTCAATCCCCCAACAATCAAACACTTCTATCACTAAAATGGGGTTTAAAGGCATCATATTACGTCGAGACACGGCACCTAATTTTTGACATCTTTCACAGGTTCTACAATAGGTATTAGTGTCTTTGAACAAGGTAGGCCAATAAAAACCACATTGTAGAATTTTTGCAGCAGTCTTTTTTATAGAGAAGTGGCCACCACATGCTTGAGTATGACAGAAACTAAGTATGCTAGGTATTTCTTCATTGGGGACACAACGTCTTAAGATTTGGTCGGGGCAGTACTTAAACAAACATGGGTCATCCTAATAAAAATTATGTACCTGAACCAAAAACTTCCTCTTATCCTTTGTACTCCACTCCTTTGGGATTTCACCTGCAGCCAAGTAGTTCACAATGTGAGCAAACCATGGTAAAGAAGAAAGAGAAAATAAATTTTCATCCGGGAATTCATCTCTTATTGGCAAGGTGTTCGTAGTGTCTTCAAAGGTTAGCCTTGATAAGTGGTCTGCTACGACATTCTCCACTCCTTTCTTGTCCTTGATGGTGATGTCAAATTCCTGCAAAAGCAATATCCACTGTATTAATCGCGCCTTAGTATCCTTCTTTGCAAGAAGGTGCTTAAAAGCTACATGATCTGCGAAAATTCTAATGGGAGAACCTATTAATTAAGATCTAAACTTGTCAAGTGCAAAGACCACAGCTAGTAGCTCTTTTCAGTTGTGGAATAGTTCATCTGAGCACTGTTAAGAGTTCTACTAGCGTAGTAAATGACAAAAGGCTTACCCTCTCTTTGTTGTCCCAGTACAGTACCTACCGCATAATCACTAGCATCGCACATAATTTCAAACGGTAGGGACCAATCAGGTGGTTGCATGATTAGTGCAGAAGTGAGCTTGTTAATCAGTGTTTTAAATGCCTCTTGGCATTCTGGGGTCCATTCAAAATTGGCTTCTTTACTTAGAAGGTTACACAAGGGTCTGGATATGGATGAAAAGTTCTGTATAAACCTCCTTTAAAAACCTACGTGACCTAGAAATGATCTTATGTCTTTGACGGTTTTATGTATAGGCAATTTGAAGATCAGTTCAATTTTTGATTTGTCGACCTCTATTCCTTTAGAAGAAATTACATGTCCTAAGACAATTCCTGAAGGTAACATAAAATGACATTTCTCCCAATCCAAAACTAATCATTTTTCCACACACCGGGTCAAGACTCTCTTCAAGTTAAATAGGCATGCATCAAACGAGACTCCAAACACTGTCAAGTCATCCATGAAAACTTCCATGCACTCCTCTATCATGTCAGTAAATATGCTTATCATGCATCTTTGGAATGTAGCAGGAGCGTTACAAAGTTCAAATGGCATCCTACGAAATGCATAAATACCAAATGGGCAAGTAAATGTGGTCTTTTCTTGGTCTTCTAAAGCTATTTCAATTTGATAATAAATGATTGATAAATGAAGTAACATGCAAATAACAAAGTTAATCAAACTGAACACATTTTTAACTTTGCAAAATAACTTGCTTGAGATTGGCTTAGAGATAAACAAGTCAATCTTATGTTGTACTAAAGGCTCAGTGGGCTGACACGAACTTGGATCAATTCATGTGTGCTTCTATACATGTCGGACTAGATGTTTTGTTTATTTATGTTTCAATTTTGTTGAAAATTATCTCTTTAATGGTGGGTTTTTTGATAATTAATTATGGTTTATGTTTTCCCCATTTTTCCTTTTTCTTGTTGGTAATATATTCATATTTTCTTTGTTACCAAGGTTGAGTCAGTGTTGGACAAGGAAAATTTTACATTGGAAGAGCTTTTGGATGAAGAAGAGATAATCCAAGAATGCAAATCATTAAATAGTTGCCTTATCAATTTGAATGGCACCTTTACTTTTTAGCTGCATATTTCTATTTATTATTATTGTCATCTATGTTAGTTTTTAATGAGTAATGGTTCCTTGGCAATCACACCCTTACCACGACCTGCTCTTTGAACAGTTGTTGCACTATATCGAGAGTCTCCGATGATGCGGATAGCAAACGAATGTTCAGATGCCATATAGTTTTAGCTTTCAAACCAAATTTATTTTTCCCCAAAACTAGTCTTATAAACATGAAGTATTAACCCGATTTGCTTGTTTGTTGATTAGTTACTGCAAAAAGTCAAGAAATTATAATCTATGTCAAGGAGGAAGTATGCACATTGGGTTTAACCAAAAAAGAAGTTGGAACTGCTACATATTCTTTGATTTCCAATAGCAATCTCGAAACTCTCAACCCGTGATCTTCTGTTGACTCTGCCATGAGGCTAAGTAATCGTTTTGAAACTGTGTTTGATATTTGGGTCTTCGGGGTTTCAAGTCAACTATTAAGAAAATTGTCGGAGTTTGGTTTGGTTCAGTTGCAAGGCTTCGATGACTTTATTTTCTCTATTTTTCTCCTCAATTATTGTTTAGGAAATAGAAATTATTTGCCTTCATTGAGCCAAATAAATGTTTTGGAACAGTTCAATTAGTCTTTTTATTTCAAACGGTTAACTACAAAATCATATAACTTCACTTCCTATTGTCAAATTTCAATGAAAAAATAAATAAATTTGCGGAGCTATGTAATTGGCCCTTGTTTGAGCCATATTATTTTCTTTAGAATGAATTTTTGAATAGTATATTGATAGAAAATGTATGGTTAAAAAATAAAGAAAATTTTTGGATTTGTGTATAATATTATTTTATTGAAGAATGTCTAGTTGAAATGATGTCAAATTACTATTTAAGAATGTATATTTTTGACAAAACGTGGCTCAAACATGCCCTTAGTCTTGTTCCTAATGTATTACATATGTAAGAGGTACAAGTAAACATACCTTCTAGATTGCTGATATTGAGATTTCTTTACAGTTATCTTCCCTTTTTAGTGTTTTTTTTTATAACTCAGGTGTCTAAGTTTCGTCTGACTAATTCTGAGGAGTGACGGCCTTCCCCCTGGTTCGTCACCCAGGTAATTCCGGATGCGAACACAGGTTATATACACTTGGGCCGAATGCGGTTCTCCTCCCTGTAGATTTCCATTTATGATGTGTGGACAGGAACTCCGGAGGGACGACAAAGCGCAACATAACTTTGCCTTCACAGGACAATTGTCTTCCAACATAAATGTTGCCTTCCAGCCGCCATGGGAATTCGAACCTCCGATACTCCATGTGGAGCCCTCTTGCTTTACCACTGCGTCATACCCGTGGGGGCAAAGGTTGAACCCCAAACCTTAGGGCCCCTACCGCCCCACCCCTAGAGTATCGTCAGGAAGGTAAATCGCGGGATGTACCCCAACAAACCAAGGAACAAGAGCTTGCCCGTACACTGGTACCCACAAAGAGTCAAATTTCATATCTCAGGAATCGAATCATCAACGGTTGCCAGCAAGATTGAAACTATCTCACTCTTCTCCTTTGAACCACTGGGTTATGCCCCGGGGGACTTTCCCTTTTTAGTGTTACATACATGTATGCTGAGTCTATGTACATCAACGTTAACATCTTGTGCTTTCTTTAATTGTTTTTCCCACATAATTTCAATTGTCAAAGAAGCTTTGGTAGAACAAGACATGCTTCATCGACAGCCTAAATAGAAGAAAAGGTTTGGAACTAGGCTTCCAACCTTGATTGTAATGTAATATGGGTTTACCATAATTAGTTACTTTTTATGGGTTTTCATATTATTATTAGATTGTAAAGTGAATTTGACAATAAAAATGGAAATGAAAATCAATTTTGAAACAATATGAGAAAGAAACAAATGTCTAAAAAAAATTAATATTTGGTCCTAATTCCCATAAATTTTTCAATTGATTTATTATCGTTGCACAATAGGATAAACTACTAACTATAGCGGTACAACGATTCAATGAAAGGAATTGTAAAAAAATAAATGAGTTTGCATATTACTTCTTCGTTACTCGGTTGCTCCCCTTTGTGTTTAGTTGGCTTTTTTGATGCATAAAACTTTTATTAATGATATCCTGGTTCTACATTGATGGTTTTGTAAGTATTATGCCCTAGTTTCAATCAACTTTGGACATAAATACTTTTGATATATAATTAATGCAATTTAATGACAGATCTATTATTTAATTAATAGACAATTAAATAAATAATAGAGTCTGTAGATTCAAATCTTCATAATTTGTTAATCACAAGGAGTTGTGATTGTGAGATACAAATTACATCTGATTGAATCTTAAATCATTCGTGGTCGTAAGTAATAACGAGATACGGATATCGTTATTACGGATAGACCATCACGTGTGACATTTCTTACTTGTGAAGTAAGTAGCTGATCTCACAAGTTAAAGTGCGGTGACACTTAAATGAACACGTGAATGTTTTGTTATAGAACAAAACATTAGAGTCCCACCGAGAGATTCCACATGGATAACTATTTGAGTGTCAGTGATTAATCTCTAACATTCGGTAGTGGAATTGGTCCTTTGACTTGAGGTCGTCATGGTACCTTATATGAGGACATTCATACTTTGGCAGTGTTGGATGTTGCTCTGCAAAGGACCACTAATACGACGTCGTTCGGGTACTAAAGAATCGTATGAAGGTTGTGATTGATCAATAAATGATTCATCACTCTTAGATAGCAGGAGATTATGATCTGCATATTATTCAATTAAGTCGATGATGAAATCCTTAGCCAAGGTGTACTCATAAGTCGAAAAGGAGTTCTCGACTTATATTGACTTAATAGTGGAGTGAAAGATATGATCGTTAATCGAGATTGACACACTTTCATATCTCGTAATTGATCGGATCATATTGACGAATCGATTATAGTTTCACGGTAAACGAACGAGTTTGGTTTTGTTATATCACGTGACATTTTCCGTCACATGTATTGCCCTGACACATTGCTAGATGTCAATTTGGGACGGCGAGTGTGAATTGATGATAAATTAAAAGAGTGTTTTAATATATCAATTTTGATTAGATCAAAATAATATTTCACGTCGTTAAGCATCGTGATAGGGAACCTAATGGGTCGCACACAAAAGAGAATTGAAAGATTGCAATTTGTCAATTAATTAATTTAACAGTCGTTGGATAAATTAATTAATTGGGTTGGTTATTTATATGCCCGAATTAATTAATTGGATTAATTAATTCACAGACCGAATTTAATTAAAAGGATTAATTAAATATTGGACCGGACGGAGCTAGGCCCGTTTGGACTTATATAAATACATTGCTAGGGTTTTCAATCCATGTGATTTTTCTCATAATTATTCTTGCTAGCACAAAAGGAAAAAACCCTGGTAGCTGCAATCTTGTTCTCTGTGTGGATCACCGTTGGACGCTGGACAATTGAACAGCTGTGGGTGACGAATCAAGAATGCTGGAACGAAAAAAAGAAAAACAAAAGGTTTGCAGAATTCTTCTAATGTACAATTTTTATCACGATTTCTATCTAAATACAAAGGGATCCTCGATGGGAATCGAAATAATTTTAATTTTTCGCTGTACATGTATAAGTAGATTCCCAATAGTGGTATCAGAGTCTACTTTGTGTTTCTTAGAAATTGCTTTGCATGTTGGAGCAATTAAAAGTTAATTATGTTTTCTTGTTTTTGCAATTAAGAATATATTTTCATAGTCAAAAATTTGATTTTGAATGGAAAATATTTTTCTGGGTCGGAATAATATATTAAATAAAAAAAGGCTGTAGAGGCGGCTCGCCGCCGACGAGAGACACTCGCTGCCATTGTCCAGGGCAGCAGCGAGCACCGCTGCTGCAATTTATTATAGCAGCGTCACGCGCTGCCGGGCGACTTCCTATTGCAAAAGGGAAGGGGTGGCGACGGTCGCCGTCCCCTAAAAACTAAGAAGAAGAAGGAGCACCGAAAAAGAAGAAAGAGACCTTAGGGTTTTCAGTTCGGTTTAGGGTGAAATGGAGGCGGGGGCCTGTGACACAATTTGTGAAATTGCTAGCCTCTGTTTGCAATATCCATTTTCGGGCCAGTTTGTAAATTGTTTTTAAGAAAGGTAGTTCTTGCAATATTCGTTATCGAGGACCCCTTTTCCTGCAATTCAATTTTCGGGCTCTGATTGCAAATATTTTAATGAAGGATCTGTTTGCAATTTCGAAAATTGAAAAGGTCTTGTCATAATTTTAATTTAGGGGTCAAAATACAAATTTCAAAAGGAGATTTTGAATTTAAATTTTAAAATGGTTTTAAAATTATATTTTAAATGGGTTAGACCTATAATTTTAATTTTGACTCAAATTTATATTTCATTTAAAATTGACGACTTTTTATATTTTCGTTAAAATTAGATTTTAACTTAAATATTAAACTTTGACCCTATATTGAATTTTATTTTATTTAGGAGTGTTATCCTAAATTAAAATATTGATTCAATTTAAATTAGAGTTTGACTTTAATTTAATACTTAATTAAAATTTGATTTTAATTGATAATTCACCCCGAATATATTCTAGAAGTTAGAATTAGATTCTAATTTGACATTTAATTAAAATTTGTTTTAATTAAGTTGTCTAGCCCTAACATTCTTCTCGAAATTAGAGTTGGACTCTAATATGGTATTTAATTAAAATTTGATTTTAATTAAAACAAGTTCCCCGTATAATCTTAGAATTAGAGTTTGACTCTAATCTCGTTATTTAATCAAAATTTGATTTTAATTAAATTCAACCGCATTAAGGTATGAAATTAGAGTTTGACTTTAATTTGATATTTAATTGAAATGAGATTTGAATTAAATAATCCTGCCCTATAATTATGGAATTAGAGTTTGACTCTAATTCGGTATTTAATTAAAATTGGATTTTAATTAAATATGGTCGCTAATTAAATAATAGATTAATATGATTAATTAATTATTTAATTGTTCTGATCCATTTGTCTAAAAGAGTTTAGACGATCTTAATTGCTAGAAACTTGAAACATGTTTGCACATAATATTAAATATTATATAAGAACACATTTATGTGATAAATGCATTATTAGTTGATGATTATGGACTTGACCATATGGATGTGTTGAATGGTTGATTTTTATTCTTGTTGTTTTGTGGGCCTGTGAGTCCGTTATTATTGTTATTATTTTGGGCCTGTAAGCACTTGATCATTTTGGACCTGTGAGTCCGTTATTATTATTGTTGC